TGTACTCACATCCAAAAAAGAATCCGATGCATTTCCAAATTTTGCCCCATATATATATATATATATATCCATGTAATATGCATTACACACATATCTTTTATTGATATATTTAAATGATATATATATATATATATATATATAATTTTCTTAAATTATTTTTATAACGACCGACCTTGTGAAGTAATTAACAAGAATTGAAGATCTCGAATTATTAAAATATCATGAAAGGACCATGATTTTTATTTGACAATGGAAGGAATTAAGCATTGGCCAAAAAGTGTAAGGAATGAGTGTACTTTCATTTGGAAACTAAAACTAAAAGGAATACATGAAAGGAATTCCTAAATTAAAAATCAAACCTGGAGAGATTTCCAGTTTATTTGATTCGTTTTCTATTTTTATATTCTTAAAAAATGTACAAAAAAAATTAGAACAAGTTTTAGAAAAAAAAACCTGTCTAAATTATTATCCTAAAAAACATATCTAAAGTGGTAAAATGAAGGATGAAATTACAAATAATTTATTTTATTAATATAATTATTATTAATGAAAACATAATGTTCTCTACCTTTTCTTTAATTAATTTGGCAGAATAAAAAGTAAGGAAACATTAAAAAATTGTTCTCGTTTTTTAATTTTTAGTTTCTTTTTGAAGGATTAGAATTTTTTGGTTTGACTTTTGGAGCAGCAATCACCAACATTAATGTAGTTATAATTTTTGGGAAAACCATTTTGTTGGTACCTATAATTTCCCTCTTTAATTTGGTACCTCTACTTTTTTCTCTTTTTGTTTCCTCCGTTAAAGATGTTAGCCCTTTGTAATTGGAAAATATCCTGAGGGTGAACAGAGGACAAGATGACGTTAAACCAGAAAGTCTGAAAGGGGGAGGGCTCGTGTGCGACTAGAGATAGGGCGATTCGGGACCTTCGTTCATGCAACCGGGCAATCTACAATCATGAGATGGGCAACTCTATGCTCCCAAGTTTCAATGGGTTCTTACTCATCCCCTCCCTCATTTTCTTTCTATCTCCCTGCTCCTTCATTCACCTTCATTTCATCTTAGCTGACTAGATGCAAGCAGCCTAAAGTGAGACTAGGAGTGTTCAGTACAGGGAAACCAAATTGAAGGCTGAGATCCAAGAAGAAAAACAGAGCCTGAAGAAAGCCATGTCTTACTGCATCCAGTCACTGAAAGAGAAGCTCCATCACACTCAGAAAGAATCACAAGAGGTGAAGGGGAGAGAGTTGAGGTTATTGAAACGAGAGGGACGATTCGAAGATTGAGGACATCAAGTTCAGTGCATCATTATGCGTGTCTTTGGGAGGCTTCCTCACTTGATCTCTCTTCTTCATCTTCCAACAAAGATAACCAACATTTCTTTTTTCCCTTAACCAATTTTGTATCTTGTTTTGACTCACATTTGCATAGACACTCTCAGTTGACTTTGGCTTAGATGCTTGGCCTGTAGCAAGGGTTAAATGCAGAATGCAACAAAATATCTGGTTCACAGCTTGTTCACTTAGCTTTGATAACAATGCTGCACCAAGAAAAAGGTGTGTATATTATAAAGATGCAAAGCTTTTAATGCATGGTGTCTCTGTTTTTCTGATATAGGTTCTCAACATTGCAGAGAAGCTTGAGTTAGAGCACGAAGGCCTAGTAGGAAAAAGGAGGAGGAGGAGAGACCGCAGTGCGGAGAAGCTTGAGTTTGGGTTAACGTCCTCTCTCTGCCGTTCGTCCCTTAAGCAATTTTGCAACCTACAGGGGCTAACGCCTTTAACAGTGGAAAGTTGAAGGAGTGAATAAAAAGAAAAAAAAAAATAGAGGTACCAAATTAAAAATTAAGAGAAACTATGGGTATCATCAAAATGGTTTTTGCTAAATTTTTTATGGGTTATTGTAAGCTTCTTTGTGATGTAATTTTTCTCTTTAACATTTAAAAATGATATATCAGATGCCTTATAATTAAAAAAGCTACTTAGCTAACTTTAATACTGTATGTAAATTACAATATAAGTTATAATTAATTAATTTTAATTAAAATCTTGAATTCTTAAAAAATTTTATATTTTTTATTTATATCTTTATTAAATACTTTATATAAAAGTTTCAATAATAGTAATTAAAATTTTAATACATACTTTTTTAAAAAAAATAATAAATAAAGAAGGGATATAGTTGAAAATCAAATAGAGTTAAAATATAAATTTGCCCACTAAGGTTTTTTAGAGATACAATTGATATCTTAAAATATTTAAAGATATAATATTGCTTAAAAATGGTAAAATTCCGCCCCAACTTAACTGAAGAGCAATCGGTGTTAGCTTCATCAAGTGGGTCCCACACAGTGCTGCCACCATGCATTTTTATCCGTTTTCTTCACTCTTTTGACTTTTCAAACAACACACCACATCATCTTAATCTCCTTCCTCCACCAATCAAATCTCTTGTTCCCTTCTTCTTCTTCTTCACGATTTGCAGGGAAAACAAATGATGAAGGTTTGCATCCTCTCAGGTGTAAATATAACACATAAACCCAAACCCGTGAATACAAGAAGAATCAACAAAATCTAAATGCATACCAGTTACAATCTAATTGCAAGAAACCCATTTTGAGCTTCATCCCCATCTTCATCTTCTGATCGTCCATGAACTGATGAATATGGCTTTAGCTTGGCCGGTTTCTAGAATCAATGGCCAGATCTACAAAGATACAAAAACAAAGCACCCCCATTTCATTGCAAATTGACAACTCAGATCTATAATCAATAATCGACAGCCCAGAAAATGACTTTATCTTGGTCGGTTACTAGAATATGGTTTTAGCTTGGCCTAACCATCTACTTTTTGGCTCTAGCACCAATTTTGTTATCCTCTCCGATCTCACCGAGTTTCGCTCCGCTGAAACGCTGTAGCTGATTTCTTCGACTCCAGATCCGTGCTCTCCGTCTCCCACAGTCGCGTTGTCCACAGCCACATCGTCTCGCCATCCCACAACCAACTTCATTGCGACAGCTCTTCTTCAATTGCTCCAAATTTGATATTCTTCCCCTACCAGCAAAGTTAGAGAGAGGGAGAGGATAACCTCTCTACCATTTCATCAGCAGCGTCGAAGATTGGAGTGATGGGTATACAAACGGGGAATGAGAAAAGAATGGGAATGATGAATGCCATGTGTTTTTTTATTTTTTAATTTCTAAAATATATGCCATGTGACATATAAAAGTCAAAGTGCCGGTCAAAAATCAATCCGTTAGTCTGGGGCTAAATTGTATCGTTTTGAGAAACATTAGATAACGCTGTGCTTTTAAATATTTTAGAATATCAATTACACTTTTAAAAAAAATTTAAAGATAAATTTACACTTTAACCCAAATAAATATAAAAGTTATTTAATATCTTATATTTTGAATAGACAAAGTTTTTAGAAGATACTTTATATTATGATTTAGAAAATGACATAGAAATTATAAATAAGTACCCTACAAAATATTACTATAAAAGTTTTACCAAAAAAATATTAATATAAATGAAGTCTCATAAATTGTAAATAAATATCAAAATATAACTGTTATTTTTTACTCATATAAAAGATAAAAAATATCATTTTGATCAACTACTTTGACCAGCTAAGGATGACTATTGAATCACCATTGTTGACAACAATATATGTAAGTAATTAAAATATTATTATTATTATTATTATTATTATTATTTTGAGGAAAATTTATAAATAATAAAATTAATATATAAATTATTAAATATTAAAATTTAAATTAATATATTATTAATATATATATATATATATATATATATATTTAATTACTTATCATTGTTCTTACCATGATCCCATAGTCACTTGATAAGAAATTGTATTTTAGGATTTTATATGAATAAGAAATAACCTTTGTTTTTTAGGGGTTTTTTTTTTCATTTTTTACTTGGAGTCTTAATTGATATTAATTTTTTTATAAGGTACTTATTTGTAATTTTTTTTCCTTTTAGTAATTTTTGAAGATTCTTTTATGTAATTCTTTTATCAACTAATGGTTAATTTTTTAATGATAGGATGCTGGAGGCAGTTACATGGTGATCCAATAGTCACATTTTTTAATTTAAAAATGATAAAAAGACACATAAATAAAATTATAATTTTATAGTTTTATTTTCTCAGCCATCTCCTAAGAAGAAAAGTTTGACTTCTGATCATTTTTGGTTGTCAAATATCCCACGAATTTATCCTCTTACCCGTTTCTTCGTAATGGGTAAAAGAATAAATTTCTTTTAAAATTATTCAACTAACATGCAACGTTCTTCAAACATTTCTATAAGATAATATTGCACAATTTTTTATAGAAAGATAAGGATACTAACTGTTAATCCTTTTATAATTTTAAAAGGTTATTGATTATCTTTTCCTGACAATAGATTACCTAACTAATATTTCATTTTCTTTCGGTCGTCGCCGCCCAATATTATGATAGTGTATTCGGTAAGACATCAATGCACACTGATTTATTAATTCCAACTTGAAGGGACTGGCCTTTGGAATTATCGACCACTGCATTCACATTTAGAAGACCAAGACCAACCGACCTACTCTCTTATATATATATATATATATATATTCTCTTTTAAATTTTATTTATAAATTAATTTTAACATATTTCACCGTAATAAATTTTTTTAACATTTATTATTTCTATTTAAAAATTGAATAAATTTTTAACTTTGTTCTTACAAGATAAACATACTTTAATAATATATTTTTTCTTACTAATATTAATTTAATAGGGGTAAAAAGAAAAATTTATGATAAAAATTTAATTACATAACTTATAAATAAGACAAGAAAATCTTTCAATCTCTAACTTATAGATAAGATCAAAAAAAGTATATATGACATAAACTAATTCAAAATTTCTTTAAATCACCAACTTTTGCGTCAGCTCTTTATTTAATCACCGACTTTGAGATAAATTATAGCAGTATTAGTTCGCTTCCTCCCACTTCTAATTGATAGCTGAATTTTGAAGGTTCAAGTGAATAAACAGTCGCAATTTGTAATCACATGGATGCGGCCATTGCTTTAATGCTCATAGAAGCTTTGTTGATCTTATTGGGTATATTAATTTTTAAAGCAATCAGATTAATCTCTCCCGCACTTCATGATATTCCTTCTGTTTCTGTAGATGACAGGTAATAACTTCTTCCCACTTTCTGAATAACCACGAACTCTTTATAATTTTTCTCACCTGAGATTAATTTGCTGCTAACCCAATATATTAATATATTGATGATTTGATTCTATCTATAGTTGTAAAGATGTTGTCTCAATTTCAACGGTTTCATCTCCTCCTTCTCATACCATTATTGCTCCACCAGCTACCAAGTATGATGTATTTCTTAGTTTTAGAGGGGAAAACACTCGTGATAATTTTGCTAGTCATCTTTACAAAGAACTTTGCAATACAAGCATTCACACTTTTATGGACCATAAACTCCGCGCAGGAGACCAGATCTCGCCAGTTCTTCGATAAAAAATAGAGGAATCTGAGATAAGTGTGATTATTTTCTCTGAAGATTATGCTTCTTCAACATGGTGTATGGATGAGCTCGTTCACATATTAGAATGTAAGGATAACTATGGAAGGATTGTGATACCTATTTTCTATAAGGTAGATCCATCAAATATACGCAAACGGAGTGGAAGTTTTGGAGCTGGTTTTGCTAAACTTGAGCAGAGATTCAAAAACAACCAAGTCAAACTGCAAAACTGGAAGAACGCTTTGATCTAATCAACTAGTCTCGTTGGGTGGGATTCAACAAAAACCAGGTACCTTTCAATCAAACTTTAGAATATTTCACAAGTAACTTGATCGAGTCTTGTGCATCAGACAATTTGGCCACACTGTTCACTTCACAGCTTGCGTGAATAATGTTTCTTATAGTGTTGTTTTTTTTAAATACATATATGGATATGTTGATTTATTATGGGTCACTGCTTTTATGGTCATCCACTTTTTAAGTGTGGAGTCAACAAATATGTTCTTGTATTTATTTTTGGTCAAAGGACAATTTTACTCTTAAGCTATATATCTATGATTTAAAAGTATCTGGAATTTTAAACTCATTTCTTTCATGCAATGTTATTTTTTAAATTTTAAAAATGATATAATGTTATCTCTATCATTAATAAAAGTTAATTTTAACTGTTAGTTGTTGACAAGAAAATCAAAGGGAAGAACCTAAAAAATTATAGAAAATAACCAACAAAATTATAGATAAAGATGCAAAATTATAGACAAAGATCCAAAAAATATAGAAAGTGATCGAGAAATATAATTTTTGAGGTTCTATTCTATAATTTTTTTTATTACATCATTTTAAAAGTTGAAAAAAATATTATATAAAAAATGAGTTTAAGGTTCCAGATATTTTTAGACCTATAGTTTATTTACAAATATGTCATTTAATCCTTTATTTTATTGTCTATTGATTATGCTTACTTTTAATATGCGTTTGTGCTAGCACTGAGCCAGAATTCATCGAAAAAATTGTCAAAGATATATTGAGCAAATTGAATAGCATGTCGTTATGTGACCTTGAAGGACTAGTAGGCATTAATCCTCAACTTGAGAAAATTGAAGAACTATTGATTGAGACCCGCATGGTGGGAATTTGGGGCATGGGTGGTATAGGTAAGACCACCCTTGCTAAAGTTGCATTTCACAAGTTGAAAGCGCTTTTTGAAGCTTTCTCCTTTGTTGAAAATGTAAGGGAACAACTACAACGGAATGGACTCGACAAGTTACAGGAAAAATGCCTTAAAGACTTATTAAAAGGCGATGACATTCACATCTACAACATGAAATCCACTTTTGTGAAACATAGTCTTGGACGTGAAAAGATTCTTTTGATCCTTGATGATGTTGATAATTTAATAACAGCTGAAGATTTAGCCATATTGTGTGATTGGTTTGGAGAAGGAAGTAGAATTATTATTACATCAAGAGACATGCAAGTGCTAAAAAATGCTTTTGCATCTTCAACATATCATGTTCAAGAATTAGAATTCAATGACGCCTTACATTTGTTCAGTTTAAAAGCGTTTAAGCAAAACGAGCCATTTGGAAGCTATTTGGAGTTATCAAAGTGGGTAGTGGATTATTGTCATGGAAACCCCTTAGCTCTTGTAGTGTTGGGTGGATTTCTGTATGGTAGAACAAAACAAGAGTGGGAAAGTGCGCTGGAAAAATTAAAACAAGCTCCACACAAAGACGTTTTTAATGTGCTCAAATTGAGTTTTGATAGACTTGATGTGAACCAGAAGAATATATTTCTCGATTTAGCATATTTATTGAGGGAGGCAAGTAAGATATCTTTGAACTTCATTGTAGATTTCTACGACTCCTCTGCATATATTGATATCATTGTTCTCAAAGACCTATCTCTCATTTCCATTGATAAATCTGATGAGATTAAGATGCATGATCTTGTAAGAGAAACGAGCCTTGAAATTTCTAGACAACAATTGCTCATTGATCCTGAGAAACCCGTTCGACTATGGAGGCACAGGGATATTTATCATTTCTTCATCAATAACAAGGTACTGATTCATCAATTTGTTCTTAATTTCGTCCTTCTTTGATTTCAAATTTTCCCAATTATATGTATCTGTCTAAAGCATGCTTTTAAGGTGTTAAGGTACATGTCATGAGCAAAAATTTAAAAAGAGAGCTTATCCTTTGAGGGAAAGAGCCTTTTATACTTATAAACCTCACTTCACTTGTAAGAATCACAAATGTGGGACTCGTGACATTACTATCCTGTACAAGAGATGACTTTCATGGCCACAACACTTCACTCGGCCTTCTGTTGGTCAAAATGTAACTATGCGAGAGTAGCCCTTTTCTATGACATTGACTTCAATAAAAATACCAATATCATAAATATAAGTTTAAATAAAGAACTCATTCAAAAACACTAGCATATTAGGAGGGAAAGCCCTTCATATTTTTATAAACCCCACTCCACTTATGATGATCACTAATGTGGGACTGATGACATTATTACCCCATTCAAGAGCCAAAGTCCCCAAAATCTTCTCAGGGCCACGGCACTTTGCTCAGCCTCTTGCTAATTAAAACTCTTTGCGGGTAGCTCTTTTTATGACACTGACTATCAATGAAAATACTAATGTTATGAGTATAAGTTTGAAAGAAGATCTCATCCCAAAAAAATAGCAGCCTATATCAGGGGTGAAAGCCCCTCATACTTATAAACTTCACTTTGCTTGTGAGAATCCTTGATATGAGACTTATGATAGTACACAATAGCATTATACTCATTTAGACTTCTAAAAGAGAAATAGATTTAATTATCTTTTGATCCTTTCAATTAGTAATATTTCATATAACAATAATAGTTATAATTGCTTTCCTTAATTTTCTGACTAGGGATGTGGGACCATTCGGTACATATCTTTGGACATGAGCGGGACAAAAAGGTTTATATTGCCACCTGATGCCTTCCAAAAGATGTATGAATTGAAATTTCTGAAATTTTACAAATCTGATTTAAAAGAGCCTCCAAAAGTGTATATTTTTGAGGGTCTAGATAATCTTCCAGAAGAGTTAAGGTGTCTCTTTTGGGAAGAATATCCTCTGCCATCTGTACTGTTGAGCTTTTGTGCAGACAATCTTCTAGAACTAGAAATGCCTCAAAATCATCTGCAACAAGTTTGGGATGGAGATCAGGCATGTATTGCATTTTGTATCTTTATGTATAGAATTGTTATTTGTGACTATATATATAATTGTTATTCAGTTGTAAATGATATCTGGTGTAACAAATATCCTTCAAACAATTAAGGGAGAATGACACTTAAGGCCCTCTGAAAGGATCTTATCCCAATAAAGGCTCACAAATTTTTTTTATTGAATATTATCTTGTAAAAATAAGTATATATTGTTGTTAAAATCTGAATCCTAATTTTTATTTTTATTTTTTTTTAGGGTTTCTCTTAGAACTTATGGATTCTTAGCTTGTTGGGATAAAGTTCCTTGAGATGGCCTTAATTTTCATTCTCCCAATATAATTAATTCCGAAGGGCCATTTTCTCGAAGTTCATATGCTATAATAACTAGAAATGATTAATTATTAAATATTTGTATGAGACTAATTTTTTCATTAATAAAAAAATCTTACACTTTCGATGTATAACTTCTCTCTTAGGTTTCGTACAAACATTTTTCTTAACCGTTTAATATTTGACAATAAACTCCTAAACTTTCAAATTATGTAGATAACTCCCTTAATGATTGGTATTTTATATCTCTAATAAAAATGTAACATATTAAAGGTTGATATATATATATATATATATATATAATATAAAGTTTATTATATTTGGTTTTGCACGCACATGATACAAAACTTGAGAAAGTATTACTAATTGGTTACCACTTTTTGTTAGTTAAATAACTGACTAACAGTGAATATATATATATATATATATTTGAAATCAATGGAACTAGGTCTAATGAAAGGGATACAATGTAATAAAGCAATGCCTGAATTCCATTAAAAAAAATTAAAGGTCCCTAGCCACATTTAGTGCATGATCCGAGCTCAAATAAGATTATTTTCAATAGGAAATGTAAAAGTGCATCTGTTGTGTGTATATTTAAAAATTTAAAAATATTGCTTGTCAAGTTTTGACATCATCCGTTTACTATTTGTACATGTGTGCGTGATTGTGTCTCTTGTTACATTTCATTAACTAATTAACATCTTTTACAGTCTCTCCTTTCTCATGAGAGAGCAACTTGATGATTAAACTGTAGATTTAATTTTCTGATTTATTTATTTTCTTTCTCATTTCAGCATTTCCCAAATTTACAATTAATGAATCTAAGAGGCTCGAAACATCTCATTGATCTTCCAGATCTCTCTCATGCCCCCAATATCAGAATGATATATCTTGACGAATGTGAAAATTTGGCTCAGATTCATTCTTCAAGTATCCTGAGCAAGCTTTCCCAGTTGTCCATTCGAGACTGCAAAAAGCTTAGACTCATAAACATTGGTGGCAATATTAAGGAGACAAGCTCAGGTCTAGTGGCTACCTACAATTTTCTGGATCTAATTAACTTGTCATTCCATAAATTCACTGTGAAGCTCTTCATCTCTAGCCACGCCAATACTTTCTCTGGGTTTCGGATTAAGCTTGTCTCTGTATCATTCAGGGAGATATCATCGCGGCCAGATCAGTGCATGGACAATGCAAAGTTGAACTTTTCGTCTTTACTTCCCTTCGTCACTCCAATTCGTTGGTTAGATCTTCCCATTGAGTTTGGCAGTTTCAACAAACACTACGACTATATCTCTTCTCATGAACAGCACACAGTTGAGCAGCCTAAGGATATAAACATGAATGATCTGACCGTCGCACCAAGAGACATATTGGGGCTTGAAGATCAGAAGATAATAACAGAGGAAGTTACAGATTATCATATTTCTGATGATGCAAAATGGAGGTCGTTGGAGATTGAAGAGGTGATATTAACAGAAGAGGAATGTTGCAGCCGTCCAGGTGATGGATTTACAGGAGTTCCCAATGGCATGACATGCTGGTCATTATTGACACAAGTGACATTACAGAAAGACGAGATTATTAGGAGCAACATTATTGTTCCTGGCATTTCGATCTTGAGATCACTTGCAGAATTTGATTGCAAGAGCATTCAACCTCTCGTAGATTTTAGAATGTCACTGGATAATGGATCAACACTTTGGGGTGGTCATGAGATTTCAGCAGCAGCAACCCAAAAATCTAATGAGCCTGCTGATCTTAATGTCGATATTTGGCAACCATTGGCTGGAGGTTTCTACGCTGATTTACCAATTAACTTACATCGTGACATAATTTGGTTCCTTTTCTGGTTCCAACCAAGAAAAGACATTGAAATGAAGTTAGAGTTAGGGCCACACCCTGACTATTTTAGCCCATAAGGGCTTGGGTCATTATGAAGCCCGATCCATATAGAAGTTGGCCACAGAAGTTGCTATTATTAAAGTTGCCCTGTAAGGGCCACACCCTTAATATCTGCTCCTCTAATCGTATTTTAAAGTTAGTACTTCTAATTATTTTTAGCAAAATAAATAAAAATATTAAATTTCATTAATTTTGTTTAAAAATTTAACAAGTTTTAAATTTTAATCCTATCAAATATACACACTTTAAAAATAAAATACTATAATTTTTAATAACTTTCCCAACATTTAATAAAAGTAAAAGGATAAAAATGAATATAATAAAAAATGAAGTGTTTTATAAATAGAATTAAAACAGTCACCCTCTCTTTGCCATATAGATAGGACCAAGGAGTATATATTTTATTGCTGTGTCTATCCCCCCACTTTTTTTCTTTGTAATTATAAAAAGGCTAAGTGTACTATGGTTAACTCCGAAACCTTGGTTCTGATATCCAAAAATGATATAAAACTCAAGAAAGAGAGAAAAATTAAACACTCTCACTTTTGAAAAAGGAAATCTCTTATTTAATTTCTAGCTTTTTTTAGAATGTCACACTGGGGCCCTATTTTTACTAGTCTGGACATTGAGTTCCTCCAGACAAAGCCTTAAATGAAAATTACAGAAAATTAAAGGGTTTAATGATTATTATTGGAAGTATTTACGTGATTGAGCGGGATTTTAAAAAGCACAGCACGGTATTGGATGAGTCATCATCGGCCCTGCGATGCCTTCTGTATCCATTTCTGAACCAGACACATACAGTCTATTGAGTCACAGGTCAACAGAAAGCGATCAGAGGCAAGCTCAACAAACCAGCTCAGATTCAAAAATTAAAGGGTGATTATGGAGCACGAATGCATAGTTATGGAGCGAATTGAATACAGTACTGAAGGTGGCAACTGAAGGGATGCCTAATTCTACGTTTCATGAATATTGTTTGTCCACTCACCTACCGTTAATGCATCATTTAACATATTAACTATAAATATATAATAATATCTATAGTAATGCAATGAACAGTTAAATTTGTAAGTGGTGACCATACACAGAATGTGGCTAGAATAGAAAATTGTAATGTAAATCATATGAATTAAAACTCTGCATCAAGAAATTTGTGGTTAATTCAAATGATCTCAATCTTAATTAATTTGCCGTCATAAGCTAATTAAGGAAACTGAAACCATTACAAAAGAGTCCAATGATAAGTCATTCAAGTGTCTTGTAAAGGAGAAGGGCGATTACGAAGATGAAGAGAGGGAGGCAACAAAAGTGAAGAGATTATTTCAACACAAAAGCCTCGTCAATCGGCCATGGAAGATCTCTTCTTTGATCATATGTATTTTTTTTTTTTTGGATAGTATAGAAGACAACCAAAACCCGACCCTACGTCCTAGCTAAGGCGTTACTCTTGGGATAGTCATCCTTCATCATTATATGAAGTTCTTGAGGAGCCTGCAAGATAGCATGTCTAGGTATTGTGTCCAATTTAGTCGGTTTGTCTTCAGAAATTATCTCGTTCCTACGCTTCCAAAGCCACTAATGGATGATAGTAAACACCGCCGCCCAATCCATATTCACATTATTAACCCCTGAGCGAATATTCCATTGAACTGACTCATTCAAAGGTAAATGGAAAAACTTATACCAGGCATGAAGGTTTAAGATCTTATGCCACATTCGTTTTGTATCTTGACAGTCTCAAAGAACGTGGAGAATATCTTCTAGCCCAAGATGACAAACTACATAGGCATCATCATCACAAATTCCTCGCTTCTTTCGCGATATATTTATAAGGAGGCTATTTTGTGAAACCAGACCCAATAATGATTTACATCTCTCCAGGGCTTTAATCTTCCAAATAGTTTCTCAAAACAATTCGTAGTAGACTCAAATGTTGAAATCACGTCATAAGTAGACTTAACTGAAAACTCACCACTTTTCTCCCATTTCCACTCACGTCATCGCCTCTACTATTACGCTCTAGTCCTAATTGTACCAATTTATAGGAGGCTTTTATTCCTGCCCAAACATTAAACCTTGAACATTTGGCATCGATTTGTGGGATTACATCATCCCTATATTTATACTTATTTCTAATCACCTTAACCCACAAGTCATCTTTTTTTCGAATGAGGCCCCACCCAAGTTTCATAAGGAGAGCTAAATTTTGATCCTTCATATGTCTTAAACCCAAACCTCCTTTCTTCTTTACAAAACACACCTTATACTACACGACTAGGTGAATTTTATGTTTCCCAGAAGAACTACCCCATAAGAAGCTTCGGTTACATTTGTCTAGAGTCTCGCATGTTGTATTTGAAAGAAGAGAGGTTTGCATAACATAACTAAGGATAGCCGATGTGACTACGGAAACTAGAATCGTGCGCCCAGTAAGAGAAAGTGAAGATGGGTTTCACTTACTTTACCTGTCCTTCACTTTTTCCACTGTCTCTCTAAACATGTCTTTATTCACCCTTTGATGAATGAAAGGCACTCCTAAATATGTACCATTTATTCACCCTCTGACTTTGTCTCCTCTCACCTCTCTATCAATTAGTAAGATTGATTATATGGAACTATCCTTATTATTATTATCATGATGACTTGTTGTCGCACCTGAAAATGCGACGCGAACGGCGCGAGAGCGGAAGTTCTGGCCTTTCGAAGGAAGACCGAAAAAATGGGAATTGCCACCAAGATTTTGAGGAAAATTTTGGGAAACCCTTTAAAGAAGAATAAGGATGGTCTGCAAAAACAGAGAACAGGTTCGGGAGTCGGTTGAGTGTGAGAAAGGTGTTAGGTACCCCACAACACCCGTTCGTGAGAATAGTTACCTAAAATTTATTGTGATATATTAATATGGTTTTAAAATTATTTTAATTATCCCTTTTTATATTCATGTATTTGATATAAAAAATGATAAGAATTAAGCGAGAAATATTTATTTATTTATGGGGAGGACTTAACTCAGAATCTGACTCTGAGGCCTACGCACCCTGTGATGTGGATCAAAGTCCACGTAGTTCGGGTTTCAAAGTTTGTTGGTGAAAATATATATATATTTTTTTAAGAGAAATTAATTAGAAATAATTCACCATTTTGCAAATAAAACAATTTCTGAAATTTTTGATATGTATGTTTTAAATTGCAGAAAGTAATTTAATTTCAATTATTTTCTCAATTTTTGAATTTTTGGAAAAGAAAAGGATTTAAAATTTTTTTTATATTTTACGATTGGGAATTTAATCGCGGTTCCTATAGAGCTTTATTGGCTTATACGATAATGCAATCATTTTGAATATCTGTAGAGATTTCAAAATCTCTCACAATAAAAGAATTAAATTTGTTTATATGTTAGTAATAATTTATTCAAGCATGCATATATATGTTTTTAGAGAATTTTAATCATCATACCTGCATAGCCTTATTGATTTATACGGTAATATGATTATCCTAAATATCTACGGAGATTTTAAAATCTCACACGATAAAGGAATTAAATTTATTTAAATATATTTTTAATGTAATTAATTATATAATTTATATATATACACACACACACACATATATTAAAAACTTAATCGTTATGTCTGCAGAGTTTTATTGACTATAATAATAAGATTATTTTAAAAGTCTACAGAGATTCAAAAATCTCACATGAGACTTAAATAAATTATTAATTTGAATTATAAAAGGAGAGTTAATTTTTAATATATACATTTTGCTCTCATATTTGTGAAATCTTATTGATTTATATGACATGAGATCATTTTAAATGTCTGCAAAAATTCTTAAAATTTTTCACGACAAATAAGTAACAAACAAATATATACTCTCTTATTTATTATTGGATCTCAATTATAAAGTTCAAAATACCTAAAACTGGAACTCCCTTCTGGTGATGACATAATGCACGTGCAAATAGATAAAGAAGGTAGAGAATCATGTTAAGGCATTACAAATAGACAAGGGCCCTCTATCAATATAAGAATCAACGCCAATCCACCATATATCCACATATCCTTTTAGGCTAAAAACATATTCAAAAATCATGTCTAATAATCCCACTAATTTTTCATTATCTGAGATAAAATTATAACGAGATTATGCTCAAAATCTAACCAGGCTAATTATGATAGCAAGTAAAATTTTATTTGCAATTTCCTTATCATTCTTCTTCACACTCTTGCATCCATCAAGCCATACATGAACATATGTAAAATTTTGCAGTATTCACAGCAAGAATGCCTCCAGAAAAGCCAAATTCCATATCCAAAAACAAATTCTAATGACATGCAAGGATCTAAAAGCACAAAAAGGCACATGTCAACTTTTCGTTTAGAAATTTTTCAGGACCCCAACACTGATCAAAGTTTATACATATTTAAAATTTGTTTAGAAATGATGGACCGAACTCAAACATAGAGCATTCCAAATTTAGAAGCAAGCAGATTAAAGAACCTGGGTAGCGTGTCTCCTTCCTTCGCTCTCTGAAAAAACGCAGGTCCTTTCTCCCTTTTTTTAAGCCAACTTCTACATCTGATCTCAGCCTCTATTCTCTCCTCTTTGTCTTTCCAGAAATCTTCCCCTCTGATTTCGGTTTCCTCTTTCTGGCTGTCTCTGTTTTCATGTTCAGTTTCCCGTCGCCTCTCCTTCTCCTTTCTTCGTTTCTTCTTTCTATTAGTCTTTGCTTTCTTTTCAGAAAACACTCGTTCCTCTGTCTCTGTCCGTCTCCTCTCTTCTCTTCCTGTTCTGCTTCTTTCTCTCAGCCTCTGTTCTTCTATGTTTTTTTTTTTTCGTCGTTCCTGTTTCCCTTTTTTCAGTCTCTATTTTGTCTCTGTTTCTGCCTTCCTTCTCCAGTTTTTTTCTTATCTATTTTTATCTATTTTCTTCTCCTTGGTTTCTTGTCTTTATGCTCTGTTTTGTGCTTCTCATGTATCTCTCCCCCGGTCTTCCTCTTTCCCTTGTCTCCAGTCTTTCTCTACTCTCCCTCCATGCTCTGTTTTTTTTTCATTTTCTACCTCTCTCCCGTGCCCTCCTTTTCCTCCGTTTTTCTTCTCCTTTTCTTCGCATTTTCTCTGTCTCTCCCCCCCAGTTTTTTCGTCTGTCGTCTATGCTGCGTTTTTATGCTCTGTCTTTCTCTCTTCTGTCACGTCTCTCTTCTGTCATGTCTCTCCTCCGTCTGACTGTCTTTCTGGTTCTTTTATTTCACTGTGCAAGTCTTTTTCCTTCTTCCTCTTGCGTGCACGCGTGGCTGTGTTTCTGCTGTGCGTGTGTTTCATGTCTACTGCTGTGCATGGCTGAAAGCTTCTCTTCTTCTTCTTTTTTCTTCTGCGTCTGCTCCTGTGTTTCTCCTCTTTTCTGCCTTCCTCCTTTTCGGCCGAAAAGTGTGGTGCTTTTTCTCTGTGTTTGTGTGAGTGTGTGTCTTTGCATGGCTGCATTTTTGCTCTTCTCCTCTCTCTTTTTTTTGTGTTTTAGTCTGCTTCTGCCATAACTTGCATGATTTTTCTTTTTCTCTCCTTCTGTTTTTTGCTTTCGTGTACGTGTGTGCGTGTTCTGCTCTGTGAAGCTTCTGCTCTGCCTCTTTTCTGCTCTTTCATCTGGTCTGGCCGAGAGTCTGCTCTTCCTTCCCTCGTCTGACATTTTTTTAACTCGTCTGACATTTTTTTAATGAAGGACCATACTGATGGATGGTTAAAGCATTTAACCTTCGGTGAACACACACACGTTCCAACATTTAACCTTCTATTTACACACACACACACACAAACACACACACACAGATATATATATATATATATATATATATATATATATATATTTATATATTTAACCATAATTTTTTAGTTATTTATTTATATATTTTTTTAAAATAATCCTTAAAGGATTGAATTTTCATTTTTTTATATTTATTATATTTTTAATTGTTTTAATGAGCTAAAGAAATAAAATCCTAATCAGCATATTATAATATTAAACCTTATTAATTAAAGTGTTTTTTATTTTTAAAATATAATCCTAAAAAGGATTAAATTTTATTTTTGTATTTTTTATTTTTTTGTTATTTATTATTTAATTAAAAAAATGCCCGAATAAAATACACTTGTTACTTCATATTCACATTTCATTGGATCCTACGCCATGCTGCTTTTGCTATTTGAGTCATACATGTAATTCTGTCTCATCATCTGATAATGCAATTAAGGAAAAAAAGTTGATTAACTTTTTAAAGAGCTTAATCTGGACAAAATCTGTAACATCCTAGAGAATTTGACCCCTAATTAAATGAATAAATAAAGTTAATTAAGTAAATTAATATAATGTGTGATTATAGAGAGTTAACAGGTGTTATGGGTTATAGTTTCAACCTTAGGATTAAGTCTAGAGCAAAGTCGGACTACCCAAATATCAAAAAATGAGGGGAAAAAGAGAGAAAGGGCTCTATGCCATATGCTGTGATGTGTGCACAAGATGCCACGGTGTATGAGCCACCAGGAAGTAAGAGATGACTCTTTGTACCACATGTCATGGTGCATGGTACAAAATTTGCGAAAGTAAGGATGCAAAACTGATGCAAAAAATAAGATAAATAAAAGAGCGAATGAAGGGAACACAAGGAGCTCCACTAGGGCTTGGGGTTTAGAAGCATTGAGAGTATTTTAAACCTTTTAAACACTAGAGGTAAGTTTTCTAAGCTTGAATCTCTCTCTCTCTTCCATTTTCTTGATGATGAAAGCTAGGATTTAGTTAAAAAGATAATTTTTGATCAATAAAAGCTATGAGCTCAAACCTATTGACTTAGATAGAGTTAATGAGAGTTGTTTAAGCTATTTAAACATAACAAATGGCTCTATGTGTTTTTTTGATAGTTGGGAGCCATAAATGCACGAAAATCCTCCATAAATAAGGTAGACGGAGTAATATGGCTCCATTAATGGTTGTTTAAGAATCAATGAGTTTAATGTGAGCTAGAGGAAGCTAATAAATCATATGGGTACCTCTGTAATTTAGGAGATTGAATTTTAAAAGTGAAGAAGTTTTAAATTAGATAGTAAAGATTATCCAAAAAAGGCGATATTGATGATTAATATAGTGATTAAATGTAAAGAGAACATATTTGGCACCATTCAAGCTTTGTTGAAGATTTGAGAGTGTGTATTTGAAGGGTTAAACCTTTGACCTCTCAAAAGTTTAAGGTAACGAGGGAATTCTTTCTTGTGCTTTTATATGTTAATGATTTATTGAGTTATATGTTAAAATTGAAGTATGTGAAGTTATTGAATGCAAATGTGGCATAAATTATTTGTAAATCAAATATTATACATTTGTAGTGTTCAATGATATAATTTGTGTAAAGTGCAATCATATAGTTTGTAAAGTTCAATGATGTTTGTATAATATGGAGTTGATGAATGTGAAAAATATGAAATTCTATGAATATTTGTATAGTGGAGTTCAATAATGTGATATTTATGGAGTTTAACAAAATGTATGGTTGAGGAGTTCGACAAGATAAATTAAAGTAAAGTGGAGTTCAATGATTTGATTATACATGTTTATGTGATGTTCATGTATGAGTTGAGTACAATGATAATGTTATGCATGCCTGAACTTTAAGTAATTGCATGTCTTGAAATGTTGCATTATTATGTATCGTATGATCATGAGAGGTGGGAGCTCGCCTTGCAAGAGGAGTAATCAGTTGAAATCCATTGGTAAGGCTTCCATCAAAGCTCGATGATTTTCCTGGATTACTTATAATATCATCCCACTTATTTGATGAGGGATTGTCCCATTTGTTTCACAAAGGACTTGAACCTAACTAGTTTTTCACTTGTTCAACGAGAAAACCAGTTTAAGGAGAATGACAACCTATAATGTGAGAGTTGAGGGAAATTTGAACCACAAGTGAGATAGACAACCTTGGTCGAGTAACCCCTTACACGTGAATGGCTAAGGTAGTCTCATTTCATAGACAATCCCAGTGTGTTATAGCCCATGGTTTCATGTCAAAGGCATAAGGCGGATACAAGGAAGATGTGGTCATGCATAAAGTGATAAAAGGGCACATAGTTATCTATATTGTGATCTTAGTGATGAAAATCGTGTGATTAGTTTTATATCTATATGAAATTGTCTTATGAAGTCATTATCTCGTGAGTATATACTACTATGAATGAAAAATGTGAATAGTATGCTTGAACATGTTAAATGATTTGAGAATGATATCTTTTCCATTTGTATTTAAATTGATTAACATGCATTAGTATAAGTTAGATGAATCTTAGTTACTGAGTAGTTGTACTCACCCCTTTATCTTCAATATCATAAGGGCTAATTCATTGGGACATGACTTAGGAAAATAGACTGAGGCTTAGAACTTTGATCCTAAAAATTAGGTCTCAATTATGTTAATTATTGTTATGTGTATAATTCAAATGATATTGCCAACTAAGGTTATCCATGTTTTTTGGCTTACTTGCACTAGAAGGTTGTTAAACTATATTGTGTATTTTAGCTCTAGGGTGTATATGTACTAATTGTGAAACCTACTTAGGGTTAAAATACTAGTGCAAGTGAAAAATTAGTGAGATTGTGATTATTGTGAAATGGTATGATGATTTATGAATTTGAGGTTCTCCCTTATATTTTTGTGATTAAGAGGTTGAGTATTGATAATGTGTTTTATGCGTCTTGTTAGTGATGTGATGTATTATATAAGTTTGAAATAATCTATTGAGTGTGGTCTGGGTTGTGTTTCAGCTTTTGGTACTTGGTATGAAATTAGAACACCCAAGTTATGTTTAAGTGGTGTAAAGGAGTGTGTTGTGAAATGGATGTCCAATTTTTGTTTGAGAAATAATTTGATTGTGAAACTAGTGCCATTAGCTAGAGTTAGCATAAAGCTTTCTATAGATACTTAGATAGCCTCAATCGGACATCAGACCGAGAAATGGGGTTGTGTCGGAAGTTAGCCTCTATTGCTGTTAAATGACAGCAGCAATGTTGTCAAATATGTGCAATGCGCCATGGCACATGGCCCTTAAACCGCGACGCATGACACAAAAGCATACAAGCTGCGATACATGTATGATAAGCTGCGGCACGTCTGATTTTTTGTACAATTTTTATTATTTTCATATTTTATGCAAATGCTTTAACTTATGAGCGATCCCATGCTTTCACATACATCTAGTTAATCTAATTTTGAATTGCAAAGCTTTATTGTAATGTTTCAATTTTAAAAACTTGGGATTCCCATTTTGTAAAACTTATACACTTAATAATCTTTTGAAATATTCCCTTGATTACCTTGAAATTTGGGTTAATTGGAGAATAGTAAGGGAGACTTTATAGCATCAATCATGCATATTAAAATTATGATTTCAAGACTAGTTTAGGATTCCAAATTGGTTATCATACATCACCATATATCAATTATACATACTAAGATCATATCATAAATTTACATAACTCATGGAATTGTTTTTATAAATTTTTCATCTTTTCGCAAATTAATGCCATGGGAGATTTATAATCTCCTCTACTTACTTTTCCTTCTTGTTTTAATTCTTCAAGCCTTTGGAGGCTTGTAACATTTTAGCTTTACTATTTCTTCTTTAATTCCATTGCTTCCATAACTTGATCCTCCATGACCAAACCTCTAATTATTTTTCCATGACACTGCCCTCTTCTCCATACACTAACTTGTGCTTGTTTTTCCCATTTCTTCTCCATCCTTGCCACATAAAACTCATTCTCTTAAAAATCTAAGACTATAGGAATGTTGTCTTGATCAGAGGAATAACGTTTGTGAAGAGTGTTTTGGGATTCTAGGTGGTTTAGTGATAGATTTATCTTATTTTTTCTTTTCTCTCTGTAATTCATCATGTAAGAAGCTCAAACTCAAGCTCCCCCCCCAATAAGTGATGGTGTGTGGTCAAAAGTGAAATATTAAACGATCTTTGATAAAATTTAGATTCCAAAATTATCTAATTCCCCACCTTAATTTTAAACATTAATTTTAATCAATTTGGACCTAATACAAATTAAATTATAAATTAATTCTTTTGAGCCATTTTTAAGCAATAAAATTGGCACAATTCATCCAAATATTTATTCCCTTTATAAACTAATTTCCTTTATTTTTTCCCTAAATTTGGTATTTTTATATACTTATGAAATTACATTTTAACCCACTTGAGCTTGACATTTTTGGGTCAACATTCACTCTTGTTCGTTTTAACTTTGGATATTTTTTTATAATCTCATTATATTTATTTACATATAATTACCTTTAAACATTTCCTGGATAGACAATTTTTCATGCTTGTTTTTATTTTCTTTCCTTTCCTAGCCTAGTTAACAGTCAAGCTTTCTTAAAAAAAAAAAAGTTAAAGATACTCTCTCTACAACAAGTAGTCAAAATTAAGAGGTCTATATATTTTAAATTTATCCTACGAAATCATCTTCCTAAAGAATTGTTATATACTCTTTGGCTTAGCATTAATAACTTTGTACTAGATTTACTATGACCATGACATTTAAATGTGATCTCACTAAGCCCTTTATGGAATCTACTATGATCTTTATAATATAACTCTGATCCTTCTTTATGAGACTTAAGACACAAGGATAAAATT